ATGAGAAGAGAAGACTCCCTGGAAAAGACCCTGATGTTGGGAAAGAGTGAAGGCAAGAGGAGAAGGGGATGACAGAGGATGAGATGGTTGGACAGTGTCATCGAAGCGACCAACATCCGGGAGGGAGTGGAAGACAGGAGGGCCCGGCGTGCTCTGGTCCATGGGGTCACAAAGAGTCAGACACGACTTAACGATGAAGAAACAAGTTTTTATTTTCCATAAGCTTTTGAGTGAGCACGCGTCTTCGGATAAACAGAATGGTGGTGTCGCAACCGCTCAATTTGTCTGAAAAATCAAATTGTTCATTAGCCAAAACCACGATCAGAGGCTAGATTCAGTTTTTCTTGTATTTTAAAGCACACTCTACACCCAACCGTTCAAGTAAGTCATATAGAAAAAAAAGAGGACTTTTGTCCTAAGATGGAGAAAGTTGTGGGAGGTGATCGGGTGTGCGTGTGTGTGTGAAGTAACTTTTTCTCCCCCCCCACCACACTCTGGCTCATGATGAACACACAGAGCCAGCTCTTGCTCATGTGCTTGAATTGTGCTTCAGGATCTCAGGAAGTGGGCAGTGAAAGTGGCAGACAAAGCTGGTTCTCTTTCCTTAGCGGGCGCTATTTTAAGTCCAGCTGCTGAAGACACTGGGGGGGGGGGCGGGTTGGAAAACAGAACCCGGCATCCCCCAGGCCTTGTTTCCACCACCCAGTTCAACTAAACCTTAGTGGTTTATTAGCCACTTCGGCAACACTCAGAGCCAGCTCTTGCTCATGTGCTTGAATTGTGCTTCAGGATCTCAGGAAGTGGGCAGTGAAAGTGGCAGACAAAGCTGGTTCTCTTTCCTTAGCGGGCGCTATTTTAAGTCCAGCTGCTGAAGACACTGGGGGGGGGGTTGGAAAACAGAACCTGGCATCCCCCAGGCCTTTGGATTTTGGTCTTGGCTTGATTCCACAATCCAGTTCAACCAAACCTTAGTGGTTTATTAGCCACTTCGGCTCATGCCACCAGGGTGAGTGGCAACCTAGTGGTCTTGCAAACAAGCCACACACTGAACGTTCCTCCCCCTGGTCTAAGGTTTTCTGTGACTTGTTATGGCTTTAGGACTGCTTCCACTTCCCTTCAAGGGAAAAGGATGGAACTGTGTGTCTCTGCCCTTTTGCACGTTAAAGGAACACTCCCACCCTATACTGTTGCAAGACCTTGTGCTGAATGGAAAACAGAGGGGGGAGGAGGAGGCTTAAAACGGGAAGTGCCAAGAAAAAACAACTGGCAGATCTTCTCTCTGAATCATTTAGGGCCTGGAACACATGAACCAACGGTGCCGCCAGCAGAATTACTCCCTCTCCTGACACAGCAGCCTGCTTGCACTCACCAGTGTTTTGCTGATGACAAGTGTATCCTCGTCCTCCTTTTGAGCAGCAGTGGTTGAGCCTGTCGCCTGAACAGGCGGGACCATCCGTCACGGAAATCACTGGTGCTATTTGCAAAGTCAAATCAGAGTGAAGGCACAAGAATCCCTTAGAAGTCTTTCCTGTCTCCGGTCATATCAGATACGTAGTATTTTGCTTAAATGATGCAGGGTCTGTGAATGTTGTGGAAGGGTTTAATCAAAACTGATTCCTCCCACTGTTCTTGTTAGCTGTTTATAATCTCAAAAATTGCAGAAAATGCACTTTGTACAAGCTTAAAATCTTTGTTTGCCTTTTTCCTTGACTTACAGAAATGATCTCAATGTTCTACTTTACTTCCCTTCCCTTCTAGAGTAGTTATAAGAAATATTTTACATCTTTGCCTTTGTTTAACATTTTGATACTATATTGAGTGGCAATGTAGACAACTTAAAGAGAATAATGCTAGTGACGCCTTCACTCTGAAGTGGCTTTGTCGAAGCATTTCACACTGCATTCTGAATGTGCTTTGTCAAACCAGTGAAGCAGCATCCTGCTGCAAAGCGAAATCAGTGACAATTATTTCTGCCTTCACCTAAAACCATGGAAGGACGAATGGCGAGAATAAACTGAGCACCGAATAGCCTGTCATGGCCATAGAACGAGATCTGTGCCATTATTTGGCCCGTTCAATACAATCCAGCGGAATCCTCTCATTTCTAAGCTTCGACACTGGACATTTCAGCTAATTCAACACTATCAGAAAGACACAGCATTTTACAAGACCTTTCCACACAGAAACTGGGAGGAAGAATCACAGCCTTCTTCACATACAACTAATGATGCTCTACTCCCACCTCCTGGAGAAATAGCCACAGCATTTTGCACTACAGCCTACGGTAGGCTAGCCTTGATGTACATTATGGCCCTGCATAAACAGCAACCACAGCACAGATTTCACAATTCCACTTCCACTTAGAAATAATATTTGTGCCTGCATCTAGACTTCCAAGGCTTGAAAGTATTTGGGCAATGCACTGGCACCATCTTGGAAGCACTGCCAAGTAAGGTTTCCCAGAATTGGGTGGAAAAGAGATGTTTCACTGTCCTGTCAAAATACTTCCTCTCCCCCCCCTCCGGCCAAATAATACTAAAAAGCAGAATAAATTAAATCAGAGTGAAGGCAGTATGCTAGTTCATCTTCAGCTAGACAAAAAGTTGTATTTTAAAAATTGCTCCTTTTCAGTGTTCCAGTCAATCAGCTGTGTCACGCTACGCTGTTCCCCTCTCCCGAACATAAGAAGCGCTCTGTGGCCACTGAATACACTCACTCTGCAGACAGTCTTCCCTCCAGCCTTCCACTTTTGGTAACCAATGGTTCCTTCGAGTCTGCTAATTATTCTACTCTCACACTGGGATGATGGCCGTTTGGCTACATAAAAACCATCATCAAATTCACAAATACATGGTGGCCTTCCAGAACCTAGAACACTCCTGGTACCCCAGACCAAAACCCCTGTCATTCCAGGCAATGGACAAAAGGCCACTCCGTGGAACAGACATGTAGTATTTGGTCCACTGCAGGACTGAATGCAACTGGGTCAAGATAGCTTCCTGGTACCCCAGACCAAAACCCATCATTTTAGGCAACGGACAAAGGGCCACTCCGTGGAACAGACATGTGGTATTTGGTCCACCTCAGGACTGAATGCAACTGGGTCAAGATAGCCCAGGGGTACAGACGGCCACCTCAGGACTGAATGCAACAGGGTCAAGATAGCCCAGGGCTACAAACGGCCACCTCAGGACTGAATGCAATGGGGTCAAGATAGCCCAGGGGTACAGACGGCCACCTCAGCGCAGGTAAGAGCAGGTGGGTGGCACCCCTTTTAGAAGATCTGAGACATCAGGAGTTTTTTTTGGTCAAAGAGAGGCCACCTCATGCTCTGAAAACGGAAAGGTTCACCCAGCCATGATGACAGAAGTCAATTTCATTTGCCTGTTCGTCTGGGGAAGCACCAGAACACATACACGCAGAATCAGACACAGCCAAACATACAAATAGGAAGGGAGGCGACTCAGAAAGCCAAGGCCACTAACTTTGCTCTTTTATTGCATGTGCGGCAGACAAGAAAAAAAAAAAGAAAAAAGAAAAAACACAGCTTCACAGCTGAACCGATTCAGACAACCAATGACTGGTGAACTTCTCCGCGCCACAGCCGCTGGCCAAGAGAATTTAAAACTGCAAGGAGCTGGTTGGGGGGAAAGAGGAAAGAAAAAAAAGAGAGAGGAGGGCAGCTCACAAATGGGAACAACTGCTGAGAGAGACAGAACGACAGGCCACAATGATCATCGAGGGGCCAGCTCTGGAGCTGGCGGGGTGGATTGGCGTGAGCACAACTGTGTGGGTGCGCACGTGTGTGTGTGTGGGGAACAGGCACACCCACTCGACTGTACAAGTCTCTGCCTCTAACAGAGGGGGGGCGCGCGCGCCCTTGAACCGCGTTGCCAGCGTCTCCAGGAGTCCCAGCTGCCCTTCTCAACAGGGAAGGAGGAAGGAGGGCGCAGAGTCAGAATCATCACCGGATTGCAATCAAACCGACATCCATGAGCTTCTGGATTTTCTGAGCAATGACCGGATTCTTCAAGTGTCTGGAAAAGGAGGGAGGAGGGCTTGATCAGGACTTTTTCCTACCTCACCCGTCAAACAAAACGCAGCGATGGCCTAGCCTTCCAAACACACCAACCATGAGAATTTTTTTCCCCATGTGCTGAGAGGAGGGCCTTCAAATAAACCTACTGAACAAACTCCCCCATTCAGATGTATCAGCTGTCAAGCTTACACAAGTCTCCCGTTCTTTTGGATGGGGAGAGGAGAAAAGCCTTCTTGACACGAGTTCCTTTTTGTGTTGTGCTAGTCTATTTGTACTGTGTAATCCGCCGAGAGAATTATTCTTATTTGGCAGACTGAACATAAAATAATCATTAAGTGAAAATGGGGATTCCACCACCCCTCATCCCATTCCCTTCCTTATTGGCTGAATGTTAGTATACATGGGAGAACAGCTGTCACATCCTGTTTCTTGTCACAAACTTAGGAATACCGATGACCCGGTATGCCAAAGCTGGAGGCGGCCATAGGCTTCTCACACCCCAAAATTCAGAAATATAGCAATCTCGAATGCTTAAGAATGCAAGAGCTGAGTCCACAAATGGAAAATTGCAGCTCAAAATAATGCCCCAAACCACTGACTCTATGCAAGTGCTGATCTATATTTTCTTGAATGAAGAGCACGCTATGGCACCATCCTGTGTTTTAATGAGCAAATTGTTCTATTGGACGCTGACATTTTGCCTTCTTGTGAATATACATAAGTACAATGGGGAATCCTTTAAGTTCAGCTCTGTTAAGATGCTATGGCACCATCCTGTGTTTTAATAAGCAAATTGTTCTATTGGATGCTGATATTTTGCCTTCTTGTGAATATACGTAAGTACAATGGGAATCCTTTAAGTTCAGCTCTGTTAAGATGGGCCCTTCCACAACTTCCTGAAAGTGACGACATGAGCCCAGCCCTCCCGGTGCCTTCCGGCCATCACTCACTCGCTTAGCGCTTGAGGGTCCTTCTGCATCTGTTCAAGGATCAGTCTCATGGCCGGGTCACTCATGATCTGCTGGACCTCTGGGTCAGCCATGGCACGGCGCTTCACCTCCTCCGGGTTATCATTGCGGTTGTACTGAGCCATGAGGCAGCGCTGGTAACCCTCTGCAGCTTCCTGCAGATTAACACAGAGCATCGTGAGACAGCTGGGAGGCGCCCGGCGGTTTTGGGCAAGAGTAGCACAGACAGGAGAACACCTCTCAACGCTTCCATTTCTCTGCATTAGTTTATTTCCTATAACTGGTTGTGTAGGAGAAACCCCCACTCTCAGGAGGTAAGAAAACACATAACACTTTATCTCAGCTCTAAACTTGTCCAATGCAATTCAGCTGCAATTTATGGCCTCCTTCAGGGTTGTTAATTTCTTCCCTTTTCCCCCCTCCACTCCAACAGATCTCCAAGAGAGGGGTACAGATCACAGTGTGTTTCCTTACATCTCAAAGACTGTGGTTTCTCCTACACAATCAGCTTTTTAAGACATACTGGTTCTTTTTGCTGTTTTATTTCCATAACTGGAACAGCTGGAGGAACAGTTACTCTTTAGGGTGAGGAGAACACTGGGGAAAATAAAGCAGTGATGGCCTGCCCCCGTCTGATTTTTTCCCCCACATCTCCATGAAACAGTGGTTTGGAGGCTGGGAAACACAGGCGTCTGGTCTGATCCAGCACAGCTCATTGTTTATGCCTAGCATACGTATACAGGGAAGTCTATATGGCTGGACATGAATGCGAGAAGATAGACAACAGCACAATGTTTGCATAGGCACTCAGTATTTACAAATCCTTTCCTAGAAAGAGGGGAGGGGGGACCACAACCTAGGAAAGGGACTGAGGCAGGGCTTCCGAGGGAAGGGCCCAATTTTGACTTCAAGGAGGGAGGAATGGAAGAAACTCATCGCTCTTTGTGGCTTGCAATCCTCCCCTTCTCTCTTCCTCCTAACAAATCTCGCCCATTCTCACCTTGCAGCCGGATTCCAGCTCAAGGGCTTTCTGATAGACATCCATCGCTTTGGTGTAGTCTTTCATCGCTTCCAGCGCGGCTGCCTTGCGAGTGTAGCCCTTGACTGGAAGCCAAGAACAAGCTGTTAGTGCTCCGAAAGATGCAGTCTAGAGCCAGGGACGCACCACCCAGCTCCCTTCAAATCAATCCTTACTTCTTATTAGCTACATTGCTATCCTGCCTTTCCTGCAATAAGGAAAACTCCTTGTCCACACCATACTGTAAGAGAGTGAAACAGATGTAAGGCTGAAAAAGCCATAATGGCATAGTGACCCAGTGATTCCCATGGCTTAGAATCAACTAGAACCTGCATCTTTGCAGTCCCCAGACCAAAGCTGACAGGCTGATATGGGATATATAAGCTAATGAGCTCCAGCATCTCTGGACAAATGCAGCCCCAGGGCGAAACTGTCCAGGAACTTGCAGGTAGCTACTTGGTACATCTTAATCTGTCTTTCGTCAACCCTGATTTCTGCCTGACATGTTTTTTTTTACACTATACACACAACCTTCTATTTTTTGTGGCTTCAGTCCTTCAGAGTTAAGAAACCTAACGGTGTACTTACTGAATGCAGGTTCTAGGCGAATACATTCTTCACAGTCCTGCAAATGGGAAAGAAATAACTCTTTAAGAGATTGTTTGTTCAGGGAAAGATCAGAGCGTGCAGCTTTCTCCTTCCAGTGGGCTGTTTTCCAGTCTTCTCTGACAGCCGAGCCGAGCCACTGGTTTACCATTCTGGGTGCCTCTCTGCCCCTCACCATGCCCTGGAATGGGAAGCTGGGCAGAGATACAGCCATGGCATGCAAATACAGTAATGCCCTACATAATGCAGTCCTGTATAGTGCTGATTTGCTATAACATGCATTTTAGGTGGCCATTTTATGGTGCTTCACAGAAGCCCACTTTACTGAAGGAAGGTGGTTTGTCATGCTTTTTTTTTTTTTACACTACAGACACAACCTTCTATTTTTTTGTGGCTTCAGTCCTTCAGAGTTAAGAAACCTAACGGTGTACTTACTGAATGCAGGTTCTAGGCGAATACATTCTTCACAGTCCTGCAAATGGGAAAGAAATAACTCTTTAAGAGATTGTTTGTTCAGGGAAAGATCAGAGCGTGCAGCTTTCTCCTTCCAGTGGGCTGTTTTCCAGTCTTCTCTGACAGCCGAGCCGAGCCACTGGTTTACCATTCTGGGTGCCTCTCTGCCCCTCACCATGCCCTGGAATGGGAAGCTGGGCAGAGATACAGCCATGGCATGCAAATACAGTAATGCCCTACATAATGCAGTCCTGTATAGTGCTGATTTGCTATAACATGCATTTTAGGTGGCCATTTTATGGTGCTTCACAGAAGCCCACTCTACTGAAGGAAGGTGGTTTGGAGGCTAGGAAACACAGAGGACCATCTACCTGCTCAATGCTTGAAGTACACCAAGCCTCCAAAACTCCTGCCAAAAGGCAAAGGGTTAAACTGCCCTGTTCAGCATGGATTCAGTCTGCACTCCATTTTCTTGAAATGCAACGTGAACCACCTGAAACTATTTCACACGCAACATTCCGGCCACAGCACATCCCCTACTAAGCGCGAGATCAGCTTCTAAGACCTATGAATGGAACCAGGAAAAACAGAGTGACAGACAAATCTGTTTCACTTTCACGCAGAAACCCTCTCTTGTCTGCCACTCCACCTTCTCCTAGAGGGACATTTTAAAGGCCATGCTTCGTTCACACAGACCACCTGCCACGGATGCCAGGCCTTTTTGGGAATTCCACCAAAACCAAACAAACAAAATTTTAAAAAACACACAACACCAAACAAACAAAAAAACATGGACGTAACCCTTCTGCAGCGTTGCACAGTACAGCAAAGGGAGAAAGTGGCTGAGGAGGAAAGCTCTTTTTCAGAAACTTTGCCTCCCACCCCAACAGACTCGGCTCAGGAATGTCGGAGAAATGTCTGGGGAGCTGCAAGGCCTTCCCTCTGCAGCCTTAAAAACATGGGCCAACAATTTATTTATTTATTTATTAGATTTTTTGGGGGGAGTTTTATTTTACTTTATTTTTTCACAGAAATTATTTATTTATTAGATTTTTATCCCGCCCTTCTAGACTATGTCTACCCAGGGCGGCTCACAATAAAATTATTCATAAAACAATTAAAACCATGAATTAAATCAACAATGTTAGTATTGATCAAGATGGAAAATAGAACAAAAGACTAAGTAAAAGTAATTAAGTGTGAATTATGTTCACATAGTAGCCAGTCTTTTGCAGTGTCCACTAGGATATGGGTATACTAATAAATTCTGTCTCTCCTTTCCCATCAACTGAACTAGGAAGGCATATCACCTTCCATAACTAGAAGTGATTGCCATCCCGACTATTAGCCACAAGTGACATTAACCTCCATGATATTTTAAAAAGTTCTCCAAGTTAGTGCCCAGCACTACATCCTATGGCAATGAATTTCAGAGTTTAGGTATGTGCTGTAACCAACACTTCTTTTTGGGCACCCTGCATGTTCTCACATTCAGCCTCAGCTGATGTAGGACTGAGCCAGAAAAGGAAGACAAATTTTGTAACCCAATTTTTGCAAATACCGGTAATGAAAAGTTTACTATCTTTTAGGTGGTTTTTTAAAGGGTTCTGGAAACAAAGGGAGTGAAGTAGTTATTTATTAGACAGATTTTTTTCCTATAGCAAATGCTGGGGAAATAGAATACTGTGCAGACAACAGGATCAACATTCTCTGTCTTACCAAGCTGCAACAGTACAATTGTTACAATACAGCATTGCAAAACACAGTGTGATGAATATAGGGACTTGGTCCTGAGAACATTATGTCCTTCCTCCTACTTTATCTAGACAGAAGTAAAATTATTTACTTTGATTGTTCTCAGCAGATCACCTATCACCACAGTCCACAAAATTTTAAACCTGCCTTTGTGCTTTAAATGTTGTTAGTAATAATAATGCTCATGTGTAAAGCCCTAAATGGTTTAGGGCCTCGATACCTGGAGGAATGCCTACTCCCACCAAAATCTACCCGTATCGCTTGATCGAGACCAGAGGTGAGGCTGTGGAGCCTGACGCTGAGGGAGGCCCAGAAGGAAAAAACAAGAAACTGGGCCTTCTCGGTGGTAGCTCCTTGCCTCTGGAATAATCTTCCTCTGGAGATTCGTGCAGCCCCTTCACTGGGCATTTTAAAAAATCAATTGAAAACTTGGATGTTTATGCAGGCCTTCCCTCCAGTTAATACCTGACTCCCTTTTTTTCTTTCTTCTTGTATTTTTTCCTTTTCATCTTGAATATCTGTATATTGATCTATAAATGTTTTGTTATATATTATATGTTGTGTTATGTATGTTGGAAGCCACCTAGAGTGGTCATTCGACTAGATAGATGGGTATGGCAGGCATGGCTACTTACTTGGCAATCTGGCGGTAATCCTCCCGGTTCTCTCGCCCGACCTCGATGGCCTGCTCACAAAGCTCTCGGCACTTGTTGTAGTCTCCCTTCTCAAAATACACCGCTGGAAAAAGAAGAGGAGAACAACACACCAACAGACCTCCTGGTCTCCTCCCATCCATAACCTGCCTAGATTCCAATTTCTATGTGCCTTTGCTAAAGGGGACGAGACAGGCAGTGACCGAGAGACAGCAGCTTTTTAATCCAGGCCACAAAAGACTCGCTCCAAATAGGTCAGCTGTGCAGGGCCTTTCCAGTACCAAGATAAGACGACAAAAAACAACCTTAGAGCTGCAGAGCTGGAAGGTGCCCCTATGAGCCATCGAGTCCACCCCCCTGCCAAGGAGGCCCCGTGGGAGAATTGAGCTCCCAACCTCTGGCTCCGCATCCAGAGACCTCCACCACGGATCTATCCCGCAGTTCTTTTGGTCCCTGGCATGACTGCAGTGTTTTTTCCCTCTGCTATGCTGTTTCCACTAGATTCAGATGCTGCATTTGTTTTTGCTTCTATTTTTTCTTAATTTTATTTTACAAATAGCATTTGTTTTCAGGAATAGTTCAGGAAACTCTTTCCCCGCCTAGCGGATGGCACAGAAACCCTGTAGTCAAGTTCTGATACTTGAAGGCTGCTCCTTTTTTTCATACGGCCTGGTTAGTAATTCTGTAAAGGCCCACTTGCCGACATCGGGTTTTGGCTTCTAGTGCAACCTTAATTTTATTTTACAGAGAAAGACCTGATAGGGTACAATGCGAAGTGGAAAATCTCTGTTCTCCCGTCTTACCTGCTTGATTGGTGAGGTAAGTCATATTGGTTGGGTCCAGTTCCCGTGCTTTATCATAATGCTTCAATGCTGCTTCAAAGTCTTTCTTCTTGTAAGCTTCATTGCCCAGTTCTTTTTCCTTAAGAGCCTGAACAGTAATACAGGCGAATTATTTTGAAAATGTATACACTCAAAGAAATATACATATATACAGTGGTGCCTTGCTTGACGAGAATAATCCGTTCCAGCGAAATCGCTGCAGAGCAAAATCCTCTTCAAGCAAAATTAAAAAGCCCATTGCAATGCACTGAAAACTGGTTCAGTGCGTTCCAATGGACGAAATACCTCAGCGTCCAGTGAAGATCCTCCATAGGGCGGCCATTTTCCGATGCCCATGCAGTGAAAAATCCGTCCTGAATACAGCGGGGAGCCATTTTGAACAGCCGGCGGCCATTCTGAAAACCTGACAATCAGCTGTTTTGATCGTCGTAATGCGAAGAATTGGTTCCCAAAGCAGGGAACCAATCATCGCAAAGCGGGTTTTGCCCATTAAAACATCATTTTGCGATTGCAAAAACATCATTGTAAAGCAGATTCGTCGTCAAGTGGGGTAATCGTTATGCAGGGCACCACTGTATGCGTATGGCTACATAATGCACATGAATAGTGATTTATAAACCTACAGAGAATACAAATGCCTATTAACGTGCATCTATAAATATATAAAATATATTAATATTTTTGTATGTCCATATATGAACATGAATGTATATTAGGCAGCCATACACAAAACTACACTGGCTCCCTGCATTCTCCTGTAACAAGGTCTCTGCCTTAAAAGAACTGCATTTCCTACTCACAAGCTTTTTCATATTTGCTGTTTTGAACTGAGATCAGAACGTGAGAAGGACTATCGTTGGATATGAAACTGCTGCCCCACACATCAGAAAATCAGCTACAGCTACGCGTCAGATGCCTCCATCTGAAATAGATTGTTATGCCTTATAGCTTTGAAGGTGTTTTTTGTATTGGTTGTGTTTACCAATTTGTAGTGTGGTATTTGTTTTTTTTAAAGAACATTTGTATACTTATTGTTTTTAGCTTTAAATATTGTATTTTAATGATATAAGCTAGATCCTTTTTAAGAAGAAAGGCAGGGTACAGACACGTAAAATAAATACTGTGTTTCCCTAAAAATAAGCCCTAGTATACGATTTTTCAGGATGATTTTAATATAACCCCTATATAAAGCCCTAGTGAAGTGAAACCCTGCCATCCACCAGGGACTCACGGGGATCCTCCCAGGCCCTCAAGAGAGACTTAAAACTTCTTCCCCTCCTCTCCCACTTCCCTCGCTCGCAGAGGGGCTGGGCGCCGCCAGGGAGGAAGGAGCTGCGCGCCGCCAGGAACTTGCTCCTTGGCTCCTAAGTTCCCAACGGCTCTTGGGGCTCACGCCTCTGCAGTGTGCGCGCTTCCCCCCCCCCAGCGTGCGCCCAGGCGAGGCTAACAACGCACAAGGTTGGAAGGGGGGTGGTGATTTCAGAGCCCGGCCTTTATTCCCCACCACCCTCTTTCTCCCACCATAACTCTTTTAACCCTCCTCTTTTCCGGACTCCCTCTTTGGTGCTGCTGGCAGAGCCACACGTTGAAGCCACCACTGCCCTTTCCTCAATGGGCCTCGCCAGCTTCAGGCCCTGCCCCCTTCCACCCCAACGCCTCCCCCTTCACAGCTGCCGTTGTTTTCCCCAAAACAAACCCAGCGCCCAACAGCCCCAACGGGAGCCTCAACCCAGGCACCGCCATGGCAGGAACCCGAGCCACCGCCGTGACGCCTTCTGGCAGCGGCACCAGGTATGTTCAAAGAAGGGGAAGGAGAGCAGGAATAAATGAATAATAATAAATAAAATAAATGATGGTAATTGAATAAATGTAGATTTTAATGCATTTTAAAGCAAAAATTAATATAAGACCCTGTCTTATTTTCGGGATGGATGGCTATTTGAAACAGGATGTCTGGATGAACAATTTCCAGCTGTGGACAGAACCCCTCTAGGAATTTCTGGCTGATGAGAAAGTCTCAGCACCTTTCAGACATCAGGCAAAAACTGCTTTTGTTCCCTTGAGCCCCTGGGGGAGGCTTAGCAAGGCTATTTTGGAAACTGCCAAAACCCGATTTGTGATGAGTTTTTCATGGACCTTACTTTGTGAGTTTTAGATCATTTTGCTTCCACTCCTCTCGGTGTGTCAGCAGGAAAGAGGGTGCAAGAGCACAAGGAGCCCTACAATGTGACAAGATGGGCTGAAAACTACCAATAGCCAGGATAGGACTTTGTGTGACGGAAGGTACGCACAGTTTGACAAAACAAATTTTAAAAAAATTAATTCAAGAGACAGAAAACACCCAGTAGCTCAGTTTCAAGCAGCCCCCCCCCGGCCAATACCTGCTTCTTATTCTCTGGGAGGTCTTCCTCCATGGGCTCTGGCTTGGGTTCTTTCTTGGGGGGCGGAGGTGGGGGTGGAGACATGGCTTCATCTTCATCATCGGCAGCGGCTAAGTCTACGCCAAGCAGCACTCCTAGGGTGGTCATTACCCGCGGGTCCTTCAGCTTCCTGTCATGAAGCAAGAGAGACAACCGACACTAAACCACAGGCCATTTGGTGGGTCAACGGCAGACAGAGACCTAGAGAGCCAGGATCAAAGTGTCTCTCTCTGGCATAAATCCACTGAGCCGCCTTCATCAAATCGTCCGCAACCTTCCCTCCCCGTCTGTAAAGCCAGCAGATGCTTGCCAGCGCCTTAGCGACAGCGCTACTTGCTATTTTCTGGCAAATGACTTAAGTCCTGTAGCACGTGAAGGAAGGACGGCTTTCAAGCTCGGCTCCCAACAAAAGAAAAGGGGAAAAAAAGCCCAAAACAAAAAAACACACACATTAAGAACATGGGAAACAAGGGCTTTCCAGCATATGCTGAGCCCAGGGGTTTGTGGCGAGCCACAGAAACATGTTCACGTGTCTTTCTCACAATTTCCTTCCCTGCTTTTTTTGAACAGCTGGGAGACAGAATTCTTTCCCTCCTGACTTCAAACTTCACAGAGGTTTCTAAGACCTTGATCTATTAACAGATTAAGGCATTGTGCCCACAACTATGTAAAACATTTTTAAAAATGACATTACGAAATTTCACGAGGCACAATTCATTTTGTCCAGTCCAGAAAATTTATTACTGTCAGTTTTCTAACGCAGCTCTCTGTTTTAATTGACATCCTGCTTTTTATTCTTTGCAGGACCCAAGGCAGCTGCCAGGGTAAAGTTAAAAAAACAGACACAGTTGAAAAAGTGAAATAACTCAACTGTACAAAACACACAACTAAATGACTCGTATTAAAATGATGCAGAATTCAGAGAAATTTAAAACATATGATATCTGTTGATTTGTAACTTTTTAAGAAATGCTTGAGGACTCTCAAAATGCATAGATATATGGAAAAATATTTGGAAACAAACAAATTAAAAGGTGAAGACGTCATTTGGGAGGTTCCATGGCGATTTGAGTGGCTGCCCCCCCCCAAACGAGTCAAACTTCCAGGATTGAAGGATTTTCTGACCTGACTAAGCAAATAGCTTCATCCTAATTCAGATTCTCCTTCCCCACCCCCACCATTTCTTTCTCCTCAGATACTTACGCCCCCAATTCGGATGGCTTGCTGCGGAGTTGCTCAATCAGTTCCCGGTAACTCGGATCGCTGAGTAGGTTCCTCGTCCGGGGATCGCTCTCCAGCTTCTGGTAGAGGTTGGGCATGTTGAAAGGGTTCATGAGATTCCTTTCTGGAAGGATGACCAGGGGATACATGAATAATCATTATTTTCAGTGACAACAAAGCACACATCTTTACAAGAGGCTCCCCTTATGTCATCTACTGCTGCAAGTTCTAGAGAAACGTTTTAAGGGAAATGACATCATGGAAGGTATGTAGCTCCTGCCACTACCTGCCTGCACTGCTGACGTCTTTTGGTCTCCTGAAAGACAAAATCTGCCAAATCCACATAGAACTGTTGCCCCCCAAAAATGGGAGAGGCCATGCCCTATTCGTCTGACTCAAGACCAACAATCAAGGCTGAGCACATAGAACTGTTGCCCAAAAATATTTGTCTGACTCAAGACCAACAATCAAGGCTGACAGTAACTCGTTTGCAGGATCTCCCCTTATTCAACAAAGTGTCTGCACTAGCAACAGGACCTGAGGTAAGCTTGTGACCATCCCTGCCAGGCAAAATGAAAAGCAGCCATTGCTTGCTTGTCTGCTTGCTTCTGCTATAACAATTCATTTTTGGTCTTCCCAGAGACTTGCTGCCTTTAGCATTTCTCTTACTAAAGTCAGGGGAACCTTCCCAAGACAGGAACAGCGCCTAAAGGAAGTATGAACATCTTCCCTTGCCATGGGTGAGCTGTGGGTTCGCCCCACTGGAGTATATAACTAACGGCTTTCCCATTGTTCAGCACCCAAAGAGTAGTCATAATGCCACATGCTTCAGAGAAGCAACGCTCCACTGGGATTTTGAGGCCCTTTTCCTGAGAGGATTCGAACGAGAAACATTTTACACCTGAAACTGCATGCTTGTTGTGAGGAACAATAGTACATCCCTAACCCTTGCCCTGGGATTTTCAGGCCCTTTTCCTGAGAGGATTTGAACGAGAAACATTTTACACCTGGAACTGCTTGTTGCGAGGAACAATAGTACATCCCTAACCCTTGCTTTTTTCTGCTCAGCCCAATTAATCACATGAATTTGAATCAATCTACCAATTAAATCTGCTGATGGCTAATCTAATAATTTGGAGCAAGGAGACTATTTTGTCCATGCTGCAGTAACAGAATCATGTACAAAAGCCATTCTCTTTTACGTGATGGAAATGAATGAATGCCAATAACGATTGCCATCTGCAATGTTCCCTTTAATTACTTGAACCGAAGAGATCTAATCCACTTCCTCATTAATTGGGACACCTTTTTTTCAGTCAGTTAATCACACACTCTGAGACACAACTTGAGTGCTGTTCTGGTAGCGAAATCATCGAACTGACAAGCTACCATGGAGAATTCTTGCTGGGGGGGAAAAAGATGAGGGAAGTTACATCCCAGACTGAAAAAAAAAACTCAGTCAGCTCTATCAGTCTTGGACCCAGTTATCTGTTGGCTTACAACAAATGGCAAACAACAACAACAAAAACACCATTCCACATATAGAAGCAGAATGGAGTGGAAATTCAAGTATATTCTGAACACTATGCAGGACACTTTCCAAGAACAGAAAGCTTGCATAACGATTGCAAAGCATGCTGCATTCCAAGTTCCACCTTATAGTATCTCACCACTATATCTGTTGCCAACGATTGCCATCTCCCTTTGCCTAATGGTAGGACTAGCCTGTGTTATCCTGTGTATCCTTCCTGCACTGTGTGTTTACAGACCCTGCACAGGATCATCTGTGTTTCTGCTGCCTATGGGGGACACCACTGCAAACAGAGCTTCACAGGTGCAGGACAGAAATTGGCCTGGATCTTCCTTCTGACACTGACGTAACTCAAGAGCTGGCAAAGAAGACAGTAGACCAGGTTTTAGCTCCCCCGTCCTTACCTGCCAGCCTCGACTCCATGTTTTGCAGCCCTTCTTTCAACTGTGGATTGCCTGGTTCGTGTTTCAACCCCGCTTCGTATGTCTTCTTGGCCTCCTCAAAGCGGTTCAGGAATTCCAGAGCGGCCGCCTTTCGGGAGTAGCCCTAGGCAGAACGACAAAAGGGCCAAGCCAGTGAGCAGACTGAGAGACAAGGCAAGGAGACTACAGGCCTGTCTTCTGTGGCCACTGAAATCAATGGACACAACTATACGTCGGCTTTTGCAAGCCTCCCGACAAGCACCTCCTACAGTTGACTATGGGGGTTGGAAGAGATTACAGCTTGATCAGGGAACCATTTCTGTGAGCTGGAATCTTTACCACCAACCACCTCCTAGATAACGGTTGCTGTCTCTCAACCAGGCTGACCACACAGCATTATGGGGCATGTCTGGTTGGGGGACATGTGTGCTGTCTGAATTCCCTGGAGAATAAAAACACATCAGGAGCACTTGGGGGGGGGAAGGCTTTATATCACATTAGAGCATTAATCCATACAGTTCAATATCAGTAATGGCTCCCTAGGGATTCAGGCAAGGCTCTTTGCATGCTCTATTCAGCAGACTGACTCTCTGGCCTTCCACGTGCGAAACACAGACTGCAACACAGAGCAAAGGTCCTTCCCCAAGATTCAAATAAACCCATGGAGAGGATGTCACTGCTCAGTATCGTTTCCACATGTATTTGGAAGCCACGGTGGTGACCTACTAAATTGCCGGGCTGTGCACAATCAGGACTTCCACAGGCATAAATATCAAATAGGGAGCTGTTCACTCTGCCTGGGGTGTGGTTAGTTCTCTGTAAGACACAGGATTGTAAATTTCTTCTGGACACTGTATAAGACAAAGGTAACAGGTTCACATTCGGAACCAGGAGTTTGTCAACGAGGAGCAGAAACGGTAAAAGGAACAGGGAATTCTCAGCCTCTCAGCACATAAGGACTCCCCCAACAGGACCAGATGGATGATCTCACCTTGCCCCACTCTGGCTTCAGCTCAATGGTCTTGCAAGCATCTTCTAGGGCTTTCAGATATTCCCCCTTCTTGGCATAAGCAGCAGAGCGATTGCTGTAGAGCACGTGATTGTTGGAATCCAATTTGATGGCCTCCGAGTAGTGCTTGATAGCTTCAGCAGTGTTCCCTGAGCTCAGGGCCTTGTTCCCTTTCTCCTTCAATTCATTCACCTGGGGAAGATTTTTTTTTAAAAAAAATTAAATTATTGCTGAGGATTCCATGTGCTAGTAACCCAATAAAATAACCTATTTCTCTACTGAACTACTTGCCACACACAAAGTGTCCTAGAGGAGCAACTCCCTGTGGGGTATTATACTGCGTGTTTTATAGGCTGCCACTGTAAACTCAAAGCGAATATGCCGAGAATGCTGTCACCAAATCAGAACATTGTGCTTTAAAATTTGAATCCGTCAGAAAGAGGAATGGTCTCTTTCCGAGCACGGAATGTTTGTTGCAGCGTTTTAGGCATTTTTTAAAAAAAAAACAACAACTGAAAACTCGGATGTTTACGCAGGCCTTCCTTTAAAAAAACTGAAAACTTGGATGTTTACGCAGGCCTTCCCTCCAGCGAATACCTGATTCTTTTTGTTGTTTTTCTTTTTTTTTCCCCTTTACGTTTGGATAATTCGTTTATAATAATGTCTATAAACTTTGTTATATTGTAATTTTGTTAGATTGTTGTTTTCTGTGTTAGAAGCCACCTAGAGTGGTCGTTGACTAGATAGGTGGGATATAAATGCAATAAATAGATAGATAGATAGATAGATAGATAGATAGATAGATAGATAGATAGATAGATAGATAGATAGATAGATAGATAGATAGATAGATAGATAGATAGAAATCAGGTTTTAGCTTCCATGCCTTGGTCACACATGTATCTATAATAGTTTCCTCAATATACAAGGAAGTATGAAAAACTACCACTCACACTTCTATTTGATATTCAAAATATATTGTAACAGGGCGGATTTGATTTAATTTGTGAAAAGTCAATTTTAAAATTATAATTGTGATTTAAATCAATTAGATTTTTTTAAAAATCATTGTTTATCCACTTTACATGGTAATAAGCACATGCTAAAGTACGGGAAGGTCGCTTATAATTATCCTTTACAAGCTTGGGACGTCATCTTCTGTGCTACCTCAGAATTGGCCAAGCTAGTTTATCAGGTGGGCAGAGTTGTAGTCGATAATATCTGAAGGGCAGCAAGTTGCTTGTCCCTAGTCTAAATGCGTTAATACTACTATCTTCCCCATACAGCAGGAGGAAAAACCAAGGGTTGTCGTAACGTCACCAGGTGAGTCGAGTGCTGATGTAATGAATGAACCTGTGACTTCTTTTGTTTCATATCTCAGTCTCAACCACTAGAATAGACGACGTCTCAAAAAGGACTGCATCCGAAGAGCTGGATGGCTGAGCACAATCCTCCAGCTGCACAGTGGTCTGGTTTATCCCCCCTAACTGTACAACCCAGATGTCCAGCCAGTCTTTTAAAAAAAAACAGCAAAAAACAAACCACAGCAGAACCTGCAGTCTTGGGGAGTCACCACCATGCCCAGATAAGGAGCCTGAGGTGAGCAGAAGGAAAGAGCATTTGTTTGTTCACAAGCTCCGAAGCTTTTTGTTCGAAAACTACAAAGCTCCATGATCAAGACGCTTGCAAGGAGCCACAGAAGTTCACAGAGGATACAGGCACAATCCACTATGTGGATTTCTGTGTTAGGTACACGCTGCCCCCTTCTGCCTCTCCCTCAGAAGAATTGTACCAAGCCCAAGGGAATGACAGGCGGCCAGGTCTACGTCACCTCTTCCCCAGGTAGCACCTCACATTAATGAGCTCCAGAGGAAGTGGAGCAGAGACCACAGCATCTGCAGCTCGCATGCATCCGCTGCCCACGACCTGCCAGCAGGAAGAGAACAGTGATGCAAACCAAACAGTGTCCCTGTTGCATCCAAGGCTGCTCCTGGAAGGAACAGCAAGACGGAGGCAGCTCCCTCTGAATCACAGATCCATTCGGGTGGAGGCTGAGGGCTGAAATTACAGGCTGCTGAGGTGGGTGGAGAGGAAGAATCTCCGCTATCAGGAGCACTGACTTGAGCCAATAGGTAAGGTACATACATCAAACCTTATGTTAGCTTTAGGAAGACATGCAGCTGCCCACCAAGACACAGTGAGACTTAACACGGACACCTACAAAGGGCAAAACCCCAGGAGCAAAGGCTTGCTCTTATTATCTTGAATAAGCAATGCTACCTTCCACCATACATTGGGGAAGAAAGGTAGCTACTGCTTTGAGCACTGAAAGATGTTTGTGGAAGCCAGCCACGTTGCCATGGTATAACCTTGGCAGATTTACCCTCCTCTGCCTGCCTCGCAGGCCTAGTTCACTCGGAAGTTGGAAAACATCACCTTGTTTAAGCTTGTGCTGGCACAGCAAGACAACTGCTACCTCACATTTCTTTTCACCAGAAGGGGCCTTTTTTCCCCAAATCAGCTCACAGCCTACTTGGCCAACAGCAGCTGTTTTTTCCAGTCATATGAACCTGGAATCCTTTGCACCCAAAGCCTTTTAGCTCTGCACAGAGCTTCGACCCTAACCTATCGCTCTGATGCAAGAATAGGCGATACCTTTAGAGGCCATTATATTTATTAGAGGCCTATAAAGGTATTGCCTATTCTTGCATTTGTATTCGGTAATGGCCACATGGCTCACCCTTTTTATTTTAGTGGAATGATGACTCTGAGTGTGACAAACGCCTCTTTCAAAAATTTCTCTGGTAGGTGTAGAACGTGCTGCAACATGTAAGCTGTGTTTGGATCTGAAGGTTCCCTTGGTAAAGAGGTGTGCTTTTAAAAACTGGAAAATTCTGCAAAGTCTTGTTGTGCAGCTTCTATCCCACCTCTCAAGCTGCAGCACACACAGTTAATGGGCTTCTCCCTGGTCCCACCAACTCAGAAACTGTTCCCCTCATAGCAAAACCTGCATAGGACACTGTCCCCAACCTCCCCATCCTATAAAACCTACTGAATACACTTACAAACACAAAAGGCAGCACACTACCAGCTCACACTAGCGGTCTAATCCAGTTTAGTCTTGCCTCCACTGACTGAAAGCTGCCTTTCAGGAAGCCACCTACATGCAGAGCAAATATGAGTCCATTGAACTACCTCCCCACATAATTATCCCACTTTTTAGTTCGACTTTGACGCCATAACCATTCACTCCCTAAAACTCTGCTTGCACTCCTCCCCCAATACCTGCCTCTCACATGGTTACAAACTTAAATAAATCCCTCAATAAACATTAAATATCCAAATTCCAAAATGGAAAGTCACGGCCTATGTCAGACCTTCACTGTACAGTATGTTACCTTACCAAACAAACACCATCAAGAGGCTGTTTTTTCAGCCAGTGTGGGTGCCCGGCATTCCTCCCCATATGTGGCCCCTACAAATATTGCTGGACTGCAGATCCCATTCATCCTACGCAAAACAGGTTAGCAAACAAGTTTAGGGGATGCTAGAAATGGCAAATCAACAACAGCTAGAGGGCCAGTCTTCTCCATCCTGCTCCACCACCTCAGACAACAATGAGAATACAGTAGAGACACCCTCCGGAAGACAGATTTAAATTTGATGTGCACAAATCACGGGGACTGCTTCAAACTCACAATGACAAATTGTGCTGCAGATTTCACCCCCCACCTTCCCTCCAGCCACTATTTGATTTATGTTTTTTTTATTGATGCTATATTTAAATTGTTTTATTTTAAGTGTTTGTAGCCTCCCAGAGTGGTCCACTGATCAGATGGGCGGGATAGAAATACAATAACTAAATAAATATATATATCCGAAGGCTTAGCGATGGCCCTCAAACAATCACGGGTCATTTACTGGTCCAAGCTGCTTCTGAACGCCTTGCTCTGTAGCCCTGCCTTTTGAGGAAGTGCTCACATTGAAAAGGACCAGGCAAGACCCCCCCACCTCCTTCAAACTAACACTCCCAGCACCCTTTGCCAGGACGGCTCTTCCCTTCTCATTTAGAGAGGGGTCCTTTCCCCCTCTGACCCTAAACCTTGCTTCCCACAGGTCCCTCCCCAACAACCCCCATTGCCTGATCCCTCCCTTACTCTCCTCCTCTCTTAGCCCCCAAACCACGAGGTTCTCCCTCATCTCAGCCCCATGCTGTGTCTCAGCACCACTTTAGATCCAGGACCTCCTCCAGGAGTTTCCTTTGGAAACCCACAAAATCTTCCAAGCCACCCTCCCCTCCCCCACTCCCAGGCTCCCTCCTTCCTAAGGTTCGTCCCCCTGTTCGGAGGATCACTCCCATCACCGCCCCCCCGAACAGCCTGCTGTCACGGGGGAGGATGGGAGTTGTAGTCCAAAAACCTCCCGACTTTTCGGTCCCCTCATGACCCACTGGAGGC